AGCACAAGCGCAAGCACAAGCGCAAGCACAAGCGCAAGCACAAGCGCAAGCAATAGGGATGACCCAAGTGAAAACGAAATTCGACGCAAACACAAGCGCAAGCAAAATTATCCGAAACTTCCGCCATTTAGTTAAACTGTTTAGGCGTGAGGTAATCTAGATCCAGTGTTTTCATGGGCCAAACTTAACCACGTGTGGTAAATATCCTTGTGTTTGTGCTTGCGTCGCTTGTGAAAACCAGGCTTTAGAGAGCTTAAGCAAACCACGACGGCAACGAGAACGCCACCAAACTAAAAGGTTTAATGAGCAGAACAATAGGTGTGCACGTACGTTACAAATCTTTGTACATTTCATTGCCGTCCTTTGTAAACAACGTGAAATGACAAAATTCCGCCTATTTCGGAGGACGCGGCTAATTTTTCGTATTTTCATTTGGTATTGAACGATGGCATTGTATCTTTAGCTTGAGCAAGTCCCGAGACCAGGCCAATAGGCGCACTGGACAGATCCAGATAACTGCAAAAATTCGAAGGTGAAATATAACTTTCTTATTTTACTAGGCGTTGTCCTCGGGGTTGCCTTCGTCGTTGCTTCTTGGATGTACAAACCAATAAAAGCGAGCTAAACAAATCTTAAAAAATATATATGATTATGATATAAATCGCTCTTCAAGAGTGGAGTGAAGACAAGTCAAAGAGAGGACAAGACTTTGAGCCTGGTTTTCACTAGCGACGCAAGCGCAAGTACAATGATTCTTATTTCACCGTCAAAACGGCCTTGATGCAGGTATAAGCACAAGCGCAAGCACAAGCACAAGGCTCAAAATTTTTCCTTTTTTACTGTGCTGCGCTTATGCTTGCGTTTGCGCTGCAACAAGTAAAAAGGTAACCCTCTTGAGTTATTTTGATCCCTCCTAGATCCCAGCGTCAAACATTGCTCACGTGGAAGACTGCCCAAGCGGCTTTACACGCATTTTCTTCCTCCAAGAAATCATCATTGCTACGCGCGTAGTAACATTATCCACGGACGAATTATATCTAAAAGTAACTAGAGGGGAGATTACCCAGAAAGAGAGGCCCATAAGGAGAGTAAGTCTTCTTACTCTTCATTCTCTCTTGCTAGTCAGTCCCACCCTTTAGAAACAACACTGGTCACAACTACCTTATATCCATCTAACGGAAACTGGAATTCCAGCTGGTCTGTTGAGCCACTTTGCCCTACAATAGCTATGCTACTATATAGGTTTTCTTGAAAATCGGGGACAGGAAATAAATATGAAGAGGATCCCATGTTTTTTGAACTTCGGTGGACGATCAGCGTGTTTTCGCATCAAAGCCCAATTTCAGTCGTGGCACTAGGAAATGAAGAAATTCTACGACCACTTTTGCCATATGTATTTCATTAGAGAGCTTAAGAAAACCACGACGGCAACGGCAACGAGAACGTCACCAAACAAAAGGTTTAATGAGCAGAACAATGGCTGTGCACGTGCGTTATAGATCTTTATACATGTCTTTGTCGTCCTCTGCAAACAACGTAAAATGACTTTGGAGGACGCGAACGACGGCGGCTAATTTTCGTATTTTTATTTGGAATTGAACGTTGGCGTTGCATCTTTAGCTTGAGCAAGTCCCCAGACCAATAGGCCCACTGAACAGATCTTTATAATTGCGAAATTCGAAGGTAAAATATAATTTTTTTTTTTTCAAGGCGTTGTCCTCGGGGTTTCCTTCGTCGTTGCTTTGTCTCCGTATCAAAGCCCAATTTTAATCGTAACATCACGGAAAAAGAATTCCCAGACCTGTTTGGCCATATTACATTCCTAATCAAAGCTCGATTTGAATCGTTGCATCAGGAACAAAAACATAAGGATCATTCTAGGAAGACCTTTTCTACGAAACAACAAATACACAAATTCGTAGCTGTTAGTGTTTATTTGATTTCTGTGCAAACCATCCTCTCTATGCTGAACTAATACGTACATCCTAAATTCAATTTTAATGAAATTCTACTTACATTTAGGGTTGCTAGCAGCTGAGTAGCTTACGAATCAACCGTGAGTGAAAGCTTTTAATTGTATACTACAGTAATTGCTACACTACCGTTCAAGCTGTACTGTGCTGTAGGATGAAGGATATCAGAGTTCACTCCCCGTACAAGCCTTACTCCTTACGTAACCCCTCCCAAGTTTATTTCATTGTTTTCAGATCACTACCGGTTTGGAAATCCCAGGAACGTCTTAGAAATAGACAACCCTGTGACGCGAATTTTACTCACGCGGACAGCTGCTTTACACCCAATTCCATCCTACACGAAAACATCCATGCAATGCGCGAGTAACATCCGCGGGAGAACTGGGAACCGTTTCTAAACAAAATTTGAGAAGGAATACCCAAGGCATAAGGCTTATATAGCGATTAACTCTCTTGGTCTCTCGTTCCCTCTAGCTTCTTGACGTAAAGCATTTATTTAATGATTTTCACCCTCCAGAGCGTTTTCATATCGTTTACCATGCCCTATTCAATATTATGTAGTTTTGGTCTCTTCCTATTTTTCATACCGTGCAATAAAATATAATCTCTGAATACTTGTCTGCTTGGTTGCTTTTAGTTAACTTTCGTTTCAGTTTTGTGTCAGTCATTGTGAAACTGACCTGTCAGAAGATGGAGACTCCTGATTGTATGAAAATCACTATAAATAGTAATAAGATGACACTTGCTATTTAGAAAAATAAATTCAGATGAATGAAACAACATACGGTATTCATATATAAATTTAACCAAGCCTAAAAGCGGAGAGCTCTCCCATTACTACAAATAATCTACTTGACACAATAACCTTCAAAGAGAAGTGTTTGCGATGCTTTTGATGGATGGTAAAGATTTAACAAGATTTCTCATAAAGATTACTTTTCATATATAAAATTTCAGTGCTCACAGTTTTATACTTATATTACTTTTTTGATTACGTTCAATTTGAAATGACAACTCGCCTACCATCTTCCACTCATAAGTTTTCACTGTACTTTTGACTCAAGCAACTTAAACTAGTTTCACTTATTTGCATTTGCAAGACTTTAATGATGGCACGAGGAAAGAGGTTGTTTCAATATTGAAACACTAACTAAGGTGTCATTGCATGGAGTGCAAGGAAAGCACTACTTCTTAAGCCCCAAATGAAGGGTCCTTCTCAGCGGCGAAACACCTGGCCAAAGGCCCCTGAAAGGTAATATTAAAATCGTATAATTGTTACTACAAGCAAACTCCTTTAATTGAAACAATTAGGAACAAGATGGCAACAGCTCAGTTCTCACAACATTCTGCATTAAGACAAGTTTATTTTTTAAAATTCATCTTGTAAAGACCAACACCCACTTTGAGTGAGTGAAGTTTTGATCATTATTGTTGAACGCTTTACAGGAGTTTAGGAACAAGTAACCGCATCCACGCACGAGAAAAGCCTTAACATGACCTTCTGATGATTTCAAAAATGTGTTGCGTTTTTTCACATGACGCCACAGAAGCCATATTGGTGTCCCACTGGCACTGTTTTTCTCTCAAAACGACCCGGGGATTATGAGGCGAGACATTCCAGACTAGAAGGGATTGGGACGAGACATGGGCGCAGTACTAATCTCGCCCCAACTCTTTTTCGTCCATACCGCCCTTATGCGTTCGTGTTCAGGAGTTGCCGCTTTTCATGTGACGTCATCATTTTCCAAAATAAGAAATTACCAATCCTTCTGAAGGTTTAGTTTCATGAGACGTAAGGTCCTCTAATAACTTGACGTTTTGCAGCGTTGAAGCTCGACAGGGTTCCTCATTTTGAAATAGGGCACGTTTGAATTTCCAAGTTTGTGCGTTGTGTGGCATTGAAATGGCGGCCCGATAAGGTTCTCGAGTAGTCAAAAAGATGAGTTATTGCTCACGTTTTTGCTAATTAAACAGTTGTTGCCCTATAAAAAGTGTTAATTTCAATGTTTTGGAGCTCTAGAGTAATAACTTTTCGTTTCAATGGCAAAACTCGATGACAGATGTTTCTGTTACTTTACGGCCGCCATGTTTGTGTCCCTCCGAGGGGCACAAACATGGCGACTTCATACAAAGCTCTATAAATTTGAGTGATACACTTCTCCGAATAACGGGAGAATGAAAACCTGCACAGACCTAAATCTTGGCGAGGTTGTTTATATATCAATCATCTTTTATATCCCAGCTTCTTGACTTAATTTATCGAATGGTTATGATTTTTATTTTTGATGGCGTGACACTGCAAACCAGCCATAAACACTTATCTGACCTTGGAGAGAAAAAAAAAACGGCTGCCAGCAGTCTACCCAAAACTATGAAACGGCGGCAATGTTGGTGTCCCAAACCAATCCAACTGTAAGGAGATGTAAACACTTTTCTTATAAATGTAAACAATATCATTTGTTCCAATAAATTTGCATGGCTGCTGGCCACGCGTGTGAAAACGCCTTACTTGGTTGACTGCGTGGATATAACTGGGCTCGGTATAACTTAATTTTCATGAGTCAAGGGTAATAAATTCTTTTCAAAAAAACGCAAATACAGAAACAACAAAAACAGTCGTTTGGCTCGCAAGCCCTTCTTACACGTCCGCCACAGTTTAAGCCTCAATTTAATCCAAGGGAGGCATCGACCCTGCCTATCGTTTCCTCATTTTCAGTAGATACCAGCAATCAGGAAGCGGCTTTATAATAGAATTTTTTAACAGTTAAATTGCATTTGACCTCTCAATGACTCACCTGACCAATCCATTCCAGTAGACCTCAGGGAGAATATCTTTTTTCATGTAGTACATTGTGTAACGTTCCTGAAAGCAAACCAACAATAGAAAAACAAGAAATTCCTACATCTTTAAAACCAAGGCCACACTGTCTATTACTGCTTTTTAACAACTGTCTCAAGATGTTATCCACTGTAATAAATTGTGATTGGACTAAACCATCCCCAATCACACCATACAAACAACAAAAATTTGAACTGACAACAGCAAAATGGCGCAAACTCAACCATCACTTGGAATCCAGGATACAAGCTGTTGTTATGGCTACCTGACAAAAAACAAGAAGGCCTAGATCGAAATGAAATGTAAATAGCATCTCATTTTTAGGAAAACCAGGTGTTTCCAGTCTCTCAATGCAATGAACAATGGTACAGAAGATAATAGAGAAAGGTTCAGACATTCCAAAATGCCACGCTCTGTTTCATGCAGATGACGTGATGCATGCGACAAGGAACTGACAAAAGGCATGGCAGTGGAAATAAACTCGCCCTTCTCAACAATCAAAACCTAATTTTCTCTTCTACAAGAAAAAACCATTTGGCAAGAAGGCGGCCAGCCAAACTGCAATTGCTTTATTTACACTGACCTTTCCTTGATCGAAAGGAAACGTTTCCAGGGGATTGCCATTGTAGTCAAATTCAGCAAGGATAAGTTTACCATAACCAGTGACAAGAGGGCACGAAGTGTACCCATCATACTAGACGGAAAAAAATCATATTCAAAATAAATTACATATTTATACATAAAAAGCATAATACTGAAATAAAATCAAAATGTATCTCAGGTGTCTGAGCTGAGTCACAAATACAGAGCCTGAAATGTGATTATCTATAAATGGTCTCCTTAGAGAAAAAGGATGTCATGCTACCCCCCTATCCTAGGTCCAGTTATTTTCGTCAATGGATTTCTTTAGACTGTTCATTTTGGTCACATTTTAGGATCACATATCAGTAAGAACAAAAGGATAACGTACTGTCAGATTTAACAGTGACTTCATGGCAAGCGGCATCCCTCAGACTACCCCACCACTAAAATAATGCAGTTTCTACATTTTTCAGCTTCTTCCACTTTGCCCATTACCAACTGTGACATCAATTTAGGCTAAGCAGCAAATTTTACCTGAGCTGGCATGGGTCGACCATCTATCAGTGCAAACAGGTTTGCCTTGATTACACCAGTCTGACCGGCTACAGCAGCAGCTGTTTTTCCATTAGGCGAGTTGGAACAGTCACCAATGGCAAATATGTTGGGATACTTTTTATGTCTCATGGTGGTCTTCTCAACATCCACAAAACCATTTTGATCTGAGATAGGACTTCCAAGCAGGCAATCTGGTGGTCCCATAGGAGGCGTCACATGAATCATGTCATACTGAAACAAAAACCAGCATACTTCTAGTTTTTATTGTCAAGTGAGCTAAATTGTAAAAGATCAGGTCAAAGCAAACAAAGAGTGGACAACAGAACTTTAAGAAATGAGGGTTGGAAGCTACAGAAGAGTACAGATGCATTGTAAGATTAAGAGTATTGCACAACATTGATTATTAAGGATTGCAAAGTGAGTTTTGACATATGTACTTGTACGCTAGCTCACAAGAAAGGCCCTGAACATCTTTGCTAGCATAATGAACTGATTTTTTTGTGCGCTAATTACCCCACTTGTTCATTGGCTATATATTACACAAAGCTTTTTACAATTCATTATTGATTTATTAGGAAACATTTTCTGTGCACTAGCTGTGCTAAAAGCCAAACCAAGTGAAGTGTACCCCTCAAGATTACATTAATGAATTGATTATTAGCTAGTGAAGTGTTATGAATATGCTAGTTGTATCAAGAATGCAAAAGTGAATTGATTATTGGAAAATTGAACCCACTAGTC